TTTTGTCCTTAAGAAGCTATTTCACTTCTTAAAATGTTTGTAGACTTCTAAAAACTAAACTGTGGAAACCAAGGCCTCAGCTGTAAGACAAGTCTTGCTTCCTAAACCTGCAAACCCATTTTAAAATTACTACTATTATTAAAGTACTACTATTTCAAAATTGATCAGGAGCTTCATAACAAAGCATTTCTCTTTTGTGCTGTAAACACAGAAACAGCAAAGGGGTCAGTCCAAAGCAAGAAAAACTAAGTTCTTTTTCTCCATATGACTGTGAATCATTGCCTAAGCCTTACAGCTCAACTGAATCACAGAGGCAAGAGATTTACAAATATGAAAAACTCTCACAGCTATGGACACAAGAGCATCCCTCTCTTCTAATGGGTCTAAGCACATTACTGACTTGCATTTTTGAATCAATATTTGAAATCAGGATCCATATGATCCATTGACCCCAAGTTTGCACAACAAACTTGATGCTCCAGGTCCAGCAATGCAAACAGCAACCAATAAAATCTAGGACCATTAAAAGGGAGGGTGAGGCTCATATTCAGATTTTGCACAGTATTGCCAGTCATGTAGTGCTGTCATTGGAAACATGTACCAAATAAAATGCAGTTCCAGTTCCTGATAACTAGAGGGTAAATTCATGACAAAAACAGAGCTGTGCCTCAGTTTCCTTATATTTATAGGTAAGTGTTAAAATGCTTGACTTAGCAACTCTTCATCTGTCTTGAGTTTTGCTAGCTGAAGCTCCTTCTGAGGCCATGCAGCACTGGAGTGGAAGATTATGCCACACAAATGCAAACTTCTTGCAAGAGTACTCTCAATAATTTTATAGTTCATCATGACAAACTCAGGATTACTTTCTCTGCTCAGCTTCAGGGTGCACATCTTTTAAAAAGAACTACATTGTCAGTCTGGAGGTTGTCTCTCGTGACTGGGATTGGCAAAAGACTGATGAGATACCAGCCCATAGCCTATTTTGAAAAAAACCCATCATGTAAATAAACAGCAGTCTCTTCTCATACATCGTTATCATCCCTTTGAATAACAATTTTTTTTAAAAAGTGCAAAGGGATGGCAGCAGAAGGGTGGGCATCATCCAGAGGGCAGATATGAGACCCACTAGCTTTCAGCCTTGTCTTGCCACTCTATTGAATAAAAACCAAAACCAAACACAACAGAAACACTCACAAATATGTGCATATACCAGAGATTTTTGGGCATTACTATATGAACAAACCAGAAATCCTACTCCTTCCCAATAGGATTTGTTATGGAAAGAGCATATAATTTCATTCCAATACCACAGATTTGCCACTACATTAAAGAGCATTACTGTTACTGAAGGATGAACAGTAAATCAACATCCCCAGCTCTTCAGGCTACAGCCCTCTTCAGGGGAATGGTGATTTTGAGTGTCCCTTCATTTCAGGGTATAAATATATCCCATGAGAGAAAGGAAAGCTGCTGAGTATGGAATGCCTAAACAAGAACTTCAGTCCAAAAAAATGTGTTTTATCAAGTTTGTTCTTATAATAACTTTGTCAGGGACAAGAGAATTGGGGAAAACTGCTTCTTCATATACTGACACTTTCTACTTACTGTATATTGATACTTTCTCTGGTTACCATGGCACATCAATCACCCAGACTATGTTGTTAAAACCCCCATCTAAAACCCCTGGAGCAATGGATAGATTTCCTTTTAACAGTAAACCATTACTGAGGCCCCATGCAAGATATTTTTGTATCTTATTACTAAAGCATCTGAAATACCATTATGTGTTGAGAAATCAAATATAAAAAGGTGGATGAGCCACACAGACAGTGCCACAGCATTCAGTGATGACTGTGACCTTTGCAAATTACTGCCCTGTGAAGGGTCACAGAAATTGCAACAAAATTTTTATAGCAAACCAAATAGCAAACAAAAAAGCAGGGGGTGCTCTTTCAACAGATTTATGAATATATTGCACTCTCTAATATATTTATTAAAATAACCAAGATTGAACATGGAGCTTTAGTTCTGAAAAAATCCCCAAAAACCCAGAGAACTGAAGGGGATCCATATCTGCTGCAAATCATGAACTGTAAATACTGACATTCTACTTCTTGTACAAAAAAATCCATTATTCATTTCTGAGAAGTATTTTTAAAAATTGGTCTTCCTATCTCTACCATAATTGCAACATCTCTGTTACAAATAAATGTGTTCTCCCACCCATAAATAGATCACATACATTGTTGCAAGAAAAAAGATTAGCCAAAAGGGCTGAAATGTAACTATACACTGACCAAAAGGAATTCCATTGCAACGAAAGTGAATGGCTTGTACTTCAGTTCATTAGCAGAGTGCTGATCAGCACAATTTTAAATGCCAAAATAGCCCCCAAAAAAGGAAGGAAAAAAAACCCCAAAACTTGAAGAGGAAAAAAAAATGAGAAAAATGTCCAAATATCCGAGAAAGCAAGAACTATGTTTGTGTAGAACAAATTTTAAAATAATGAGAAAACCCTGCCCCTTTGTCTCACCTTAGAGAAATTCTGTTAAGCTTCCCTTACTTCCTTATAGCTGTTTATGCATCACGATTTGAATAAAGTAAACAAGCCAAAAATAATTAGTATCTGCCTCCAGATCTACAGAAAGAAATGCTTTACTTGCTTATAACACTAAAAATCAAAAATCAAGTTTGATAATTAACCAGTCTTTCCTAATAAACCCACTTACCGAATGGCACTTCAAACAATGAGTTACAGAAAAAGAGGGGAAAAAAATGTATTGCGTTGAAAGGTTAAAGAATGTGTGTACTTTCCATAAAGCTGAAATGCTTCCATGAACATTTAACTCTGGATTAACCAAACAGTCAAAATTCAGGAAATAAAACTATTTTACTCTAAATAGTTTTAAATTTACTCACTAAAACATTCTGACAATATTGCAACATAATTAGAGTGTCATTTTAAGCACTGAGGGGTTTTTTAAAATTTTAATAAAAAGGAAAGTGAGAAGAAAGGTTAAGTTGTGAGAACTCTTTTCTGCAACCAAAAAAGTAAAACCAAAAAAAACCACACACCCCCACCAAACCCACCAAAAAAGAACTGTTGAGATTCTTTCTTCTCCTGCCATATAGCAGATCTCTTCTTGGATTTCACACCACTGACCATACCCTGTCAGAGATCTTGAACAGTTTACATTACTTCTTTTGAAGGATTAATCTAGACTGGCCCAGAGATAAAAACCAAAATGCACAATGAATTCCTACACTGAATTCCAGCTTGTTACTGTGAACTCAACATAAGAAAAGAAAAAAGGAATCCCACACATCTTGTAGTACATACACTGCTTTCACACAGTATGAGTTGGAGGAATACGTAAAGGGACAAGCTACTTTTGTACAAAACCTCAATTTATTTCAGAGAAATTAAAAATATGGTATTTAATATATATAAATTTCTATTCCTCTATAAATATAGATGATCTTGTGATAATGAACAGAAATAAATGCATACCAAATTAAAATAATTTTGCATTTCAGGGTATGGTAGCCATAGATAATGTTTATGAACCTAAATACAGGCATTTGTAATATAAAAAAAAAGTTTAAAACAATACAATCAGGAGAGAAGCATTCTGCTGTTTTTCATACAGAGGTCTACATATTCAAATGCATCTGTTGAAAGTTACAATTTCGTCTTTTAACTTTTTTAACGTATTAGAAGCACAATCCCACACACCCAGGAGCATAAAAGGTAGCTGATATACTGCACACATGGTATTTTATCCTTGCAGTATGCAATGTTATTTCTGTACCGAAAAAAGAGGGGAAAAAAGACAGCAGAGGCTCTTTCAGGTCTCACATCTCACCAGAATGCTTAAGCATTCTGCTTTACTGTTTTCCTTTCCATTGTTTTTACTACTGGCAAAAATCATCACACCCTCATAATGTGTAATGATTTAAATCTCAATGAATTAAAATTCAGAGCAATGGCAATGGCTCCAATGTTTCCCATATGAAGAGCCGGTGTATGAATATAACTAGGGGGCAGGGAGGAAACAAACAAAAGCCCCAAACTGAATGCTGCGTTTTATTCCGATGAGGCTCTTTTCACGGAGCCCGTATTTCCTCATCCTGCTGACCCCAGCCGGCAGCAGCCCGGCGGGGAGGGACCGGGGCAGGCGGCGGTAGGAGCACCCGCGGGGAGCCCCCGCACTGCAAAGTGGGCTTAGAAAAAAACCCCAGCAGGAGGGAATGCCGGTGTGTTTCTGCCGCCATCCACCTCCTGAGCCCTCGGAGGTGCTACAGGTGCAGGCGGTGTGAATAAACCCCAGCTCGTACACCGAACCGGGCCAACGCTCCCGAGCCATGCGCGGCACGGCCGGACCCGGCAGCCCCGGCGGGCGGCGGCCGCCCCGGCCCCGGGCTCCGCGAGGGGCTCTCCCCGCTCACAGCGGCCCGCCCCGAGCACGGCTGCTCTTTGTACCCCCAGAAAGGCCCGGCGGGGGCCAGCGGGGCCGGGGCTCGGCGCAGCGCCGTCCCTGCGCCATGCTCGGGCACTTCTCCGTGCTCCCCGTACGGGACCGGGCGGGGTCGGTGCTCCCCAGACGGGGCCGGGGCCGGGGCCGGGACCGCGGCGGGAAGCGGCGCTCCTCCCTCCCCATCCCCACCTCCACGCTACCGCGGGCGGGCCGGGGCCGGGACCCAGCCCGGGTCAGGAGGCGCCCCCGGCCGCAGCCCCGCTCCGGGCCCTCCTGCTTATGCAGCTGAAATTCCAAGCAAAGGCATTACAAAACCTGTGTGGGGGAGAAGAGGGGATTTGTTTTCGATTCTTTAACCGGCAGCTTTACCCATCCTTCCCTACGAAATAAAATTCCAAAGCCTTTTTTTTCCTTTAAATTAAAAAAAAAAAAAAAAAAAAAAGCGGGAGGGGGGTGGGGGAGGTGATAAGCGAGGAAGTAAAATCCGCAAACGGGTTAGAAGTGTCCTAAATAATAAAAAAAAAGTGAGTTTTTTTTGTAATTTAAATACAAATATACTTACAAAATCTTACAGAGGCTATTTACATCCCTCTCCCCCAACCTGACAGTGCGTTCAGCTCCTACAGGAGACAGCCCGAGCAGCACGGGGCGGGCAGAGCCCGGAGATCCCAGCACTGGGGTCCCCCTAGCTCGTCCTCCTCTCCCCGCCGCCTGCGGAAGCCACTCGCAGTCCCAAAAGTTTGCCCAGGCTGGATAAGGAGCTGCTTCCCCAGGCAGAGCCTCAGTCCTCCGCCTGCCCGCATCTCCCTAGCCTGGCAAGCAGGGGTCTCAGACCGTGGTCTCGCCCTGCTTGCTGTTGGTGAGCCTGGTGTAAAACTTCCTCCAGGAGTTCAGGGTTTTCCCAGACCAGATCCAGAAGCCCGATGTGATGCCCACGATTAAGGTCATGAGATACTTGATCATGAAGACAGTGAAGTCGGGGCTCATGGGCGGGTGGTGGCCGCTGTGATTGTTGGGGCAGGGAATGGCATAACTCTTACAGCTCTGCGTGACCCAGCTCCTCTCCCACTGTTCCCTAAAAGCTTGCTCGTAAAAATAGCAGGCAATGACGATGGTGGCCGGCACCGTGTAGAGGACGCTGAAGATGCCTATCCTCACCATGAGCTTCTCCAGCTTTTCTGTCTTGGTGCCGTCATGCTTCATGATGGTCCGGATCCTGAAGAGGGACACAAAGCCAGCCAGCAGGAAAGAGGTGCCGATGAACAGGTACACGAACAAGGGGGCCAGCACGAAGCCCCTCAGGGCATCCACGTTGTTGATGCCCACAAAGCAGACGCCGCTGAGGACGTCGCCATCCACTTGTCCCAGGGCAAGGATGGTGATGGTCTTGATAGCCGGAACGGCCCAGGCGGCCAGATGAAAGTACTGGGAGTTGGCCTCAATGGCCTCATGGCCCCACTTCATGCCAGCAGCAAGGAACCAGGTAAGGGAGAGGATGACCCACCAGATGGAGCTGGCCATGCCGAAGAAGTAGAGCATCATGAAGAGGATGGTGCAGCCCTCCCGCTTCGTGCCCTGCGCCACGGTGCGGGAGCCGTCCTCGGCAAAGCGCTCGTTGCAGACCACCCTCTCCTCCAGGAGGAAGCCGGCGATGTAGGCCACGGCCACCGCCGTGTAGCAGCCTGAGAGGAAGATGATGGGCCGCTCGGGGTAGCTGAATCGCTTCATGTCCACCAAGTAGGTGAGGACGGTGAAGAGGGTAGAGGCACAGCAGAGCACGGACCAGATGCCGATCCAGGTGCGGGAGAAGCGCAGCTCCTCGGGCCCGAAGTACATGAGCCCGTAGAGGCGGCCGGGCTCGCAGGGCGCCCCGCAGTCCTTCTCTCCCAGGAAGCGGTAGTTCAGGTACGAGGGCACCTTCAGCGCCCGCGGGCAGGTGAAGCGCCCGCGGGGCTCGCCGGGCCCCGGGCCCCCGGCGCCGCCGCCGGCGCCCCCGCGGTGCGGGTTGCTGGTCCAGCTCTCGGGCCGCAGGGCGGGCGTGGGGGTGCCGCGCTCGGAGGCGTTCTGCCCCACGCAGAGCTCGCCAGCCCCGTGCACCGGGAACTTTTCGCAGCGCAGCGTGTCGGGCCACTGGAAGCCGAACTTGTTCATGAGGGCCTCGCAGCCCTGGCGAGCCCGCTCGCAGAGGGAGCGGCAGGGCGGCAGGGCCTGCTCCAGCACGGTGCACACCGGCGCGTACATGGAGCACAGGAAGAACTTGAGCTCGGCCGAGCACTGCACCTTCACCAGCGGGTAGAACTGGTGCACTTCCAGCCCCGCGTCCTCCTGGTTGGTGTGGCCCAGCAGGTTGGGCATGATGGTCTGGTTGTAGGCGATGTCAGTGCAGAGAGGGATGGAGATAGGCTGGCAGTAGCCGTGGTCAGGGATGGAGATGCCCCGCTCGCCGTTGTACTGCGACGCCGGCAGCTGCCCCCCGGCCGGGAGCGCCGCCGCCCACAGCAGCACCAGCAGCAGCGGCAGCCGCGGGCACCGGCCGCTGCCAACTTCCCCGCCGCCGCTCACCGCCGGCCCGCGCCGCTCGGCCATGCTCAGTCGGTGCCGCCTGCCCTGCCGGGCTCCCGCCGCCCCGCCGCCGCCGCCGCCGCTGCTCCTCCCGGCCCGAACTTGCGACTCATGAAGGGAGCGGCGTGCAGGGACGGGGCAGCCCCGGCCGCCACTCACGCGGCCGCGGAGCGCAGCGCGCAGCTCTGCCCGCACCGGCGGCAGCGTCCTCCGCGCCTCCAACTACGGCCGCCGCCGCCGCCTCCGCCGCCGCCGCCTGACCATTTGTGCCGGCCCCTCGAGCCCGCGCCCCTCGCCTCGCCGCGCCGCGCTCCCTCCGACCGGTTTCCAGGCGCCCCGCAGTCTGCTTCACCGGAGGGAGGAGCCTTGAAACCGACGCCGAACTTTCCTGCGTAAGGGACCGTCTCCCAACGCCTCAGCCGGGGGCGGGCGCAGGCGGGCCCGGGGCTGCCCCGCGCCGCGCTCAAAGGCGGCGGGGGCGGCGCTGGGGAAGGGGCCCCGCCGCGGGGCGGTGATCGGGGGGACGGGGCTGTGCCGCGTCGGTCGGCAGCGCGCCGGCCCCGGCTGTCCCGGGGCTGTTTTTGGATTCCCCGCTGATGACGATTGTTGGAGCTGTTGAGCGGCGCACCCGGACTGGGCCGGAGCCCGTCACCCTCGGTGCCCCCCGCCGTGCAAGCGGCCGGGCTAATCCCGGCCGGGGGAATCGATGTTTGGCGCACAGCAAAGGGCAGGATTGCAGGAGGGATCCGCGGCAGTGCCGGGACTCTGCTGCGGGGTGCATTGCGGTGGGGATGTCTCTGCAGCTCTGAAAGGTGGGAGACACGCTGCGGTCACCTGAGGCGCGGGCAGGAGCCGCAGCTCCGTCCGTGAAGGCACAGACCGCGATGTCGCACATCGCACACACGGTGACACTGGAGTGGCTAAAACTCGCCTCTCCCCAGAGACACAAAGTAACTCGCTACCGAGCTATTGCCAGCGTGTTATCTGCGCCTTCCTCCCAGCGCGTCCGCAGCAGCAGCCCGACACACGAAAATAATCCCAATAGGGCTTTCCCATTTCCCTTCCTCCCTCTGCGTAGCGGGCAACTGTTCCAGTGTGACCCAAGTCGAATGCTGTGTGACATGCAATACCTCCCGTCAGGTTTTTTGGAAAATTCTTGCTATATTCTGAGGAGGGGGTGAATGGGCATACAGTGACCGCCAGCAGTAGCCATTTTTACATGCCTGAAGCCCCATTGCACAAACAGAATGGAGGTCCTGTTGGCTCTCCTGAAATGCATCGCCCAGAAAAACGATGAAGGCTGAATAGGGGATTTACTGTACTCATTGGAACTGAATAAGAATAATAAAGTGTGCTCCTGGAGAGAAGAACCCTGCCCTGTTCTCCAGACGTTCAGTAATTAAGGCTCTCCGTCGTGTGTGTAAATGTTTTCATGTTTGTCTGAAGGTTCATTCTACCATTCGGAGCTGAACCAGGCATGGAACTTCTCTCTACCAGCTGTCTTCCTTCTCTGCAGCATGCTCCCACCCTTTCCGCCTTGCATGTTAATTGAACTCCAAAAATCCATTAGTAGTAAGACAGCTCCAGCATTTATTTCTAGCTGTCAGAGGTGGCAAGGGTTAATAAAAGACATCCGTATTTCTTGGATAGCTACAGATAAAATTTGGACCGTGCTATTTAGGCCACTTTCTTTCTCCCAGCAGAACTGTCCCACATTCAAACTCATTAATAGCAAAATCTGTGCTGTGTAACGACTGCAGGAGTGGGATCATGTTTAAAAATTGCACATCCTTAAAAATGTCGATTGCTGATGTCCTTGTTTACTGAGGTTCATTGAGTTCTGTCAAGAACTCTCTTTTCAGAGGACCATAGTTCAAAAATGATATGCACAAATACCTTTTTCCATCTTCTGCTGAACAGTTTGATTCCTTAAATATTGTATTTATAGTTTGAAGCTACAGATTTTTCTCTTCAGATCTACATCAGTAATTAAAATTATTAACTTCTTTCTAGCACAAAACCTATTTATATTCAGCCCTAAATAGCAGTATTGTTTCTCTGTTCATCCTAAAAAGACTGAACACTGGATCTTGAGATCAGAATAAGTATTATCCATGCTCTTTCTCATATACAATGAGTGTGAATTTCTGACTAGTCTTGGGAAGCCTCCTTGGCTTTCTGCCTGTCCTCTTTAGTCCTGGGGACACATCACACAGTCCAGCAGAGGTAATTAGGATGTCCAAGTGCATCATCAGTTGATTTAAATTCTACCTACTGGGGTCTGCATTAGAAATATTAAGGAAACATTTCTCAAACCAAAAAACACCATCTCTAACAACTTAGAAGATTGTTCTAGGAGAAAGACCAGTGTATACAGATAAGGTTTGTACATGTGCATAATAGATTTTTTCAGACCAACTAGTACAGAAGGAAAACTAGACACATTTTTGGATTAACAAGCTAATTTTTTTTTTTTTTTTTTTTTTTTTTTGGTTCTGAAGCAGTAACTATTTATATGCAGTAATTAGCTAAAAGCTAAACACAGCTTGAGAAAAACTACTTTAAGTTCAGATGTATCAGTAAGACCAGCTCAGAAAGAAAAAGTGGAAATGGGGTGGAGGTGGTACTGTGGGAAGAAGAACAAGGGTCGAGAGCTGGTAAGGTCAGAAAAGTTTCTAGGACTTGCTCATTTTAACTGTGTAGTGATTTTTCACATAACAGAAGAAAATCCTGTGTGGAAAGAATCTTCCCAGAAGCACTTGTCCTACATTTCAAGCACCCCAAACCACAAAACTCATCATTAAAGCATAATCCTTTGTGGCCCAAAACGCCAGATCAGTTTAAACCTTGCCTGAGCAAGAAGTGCAAGACGTGTTTTGATTCCCATCCACTAGTACAGCAGTGAACACCCCCTGCCATCAAATCACCAGCATACCCCTGTCTTACATTGATGTTCCAGGGCTGTACTTCATCCAGTGCACAGCTGCATTCCTTGTAGTTCTGCTGCTGAAAACGACCAGCATGAACTACTGGAGGCCATCTCCATACACCAAACAAAGCACTGTGCTGTTTGTGAGGGAGTCTTTCTCACAAAACAGATATTCTCCCACTCCTTTCAGGCCTGATCCTTAAGGAAAACTACAGAACTTGGCTCACAGAAGTGCACATGGGAACGAGGTTTCCTAACTCTGCCCAAAACATTGGACTCAGTAGAGATGTTGGTCTGATAGTACATTATCATTTCCTTCTACTTTAAATTATAACACTGCCCCCTCCCACTTACCCCTATCCAAATCAACAGACTGTAAGGTAATTGTCTCTTATTTCTGCTAAGCTAATAAATGCTATTTTCCCCATCATTAACATCATCAATATCCTCTCTATTCTAAAGCTACCATCTTCTTCCTTTCAGAGCTGGCTTAATTAATAAATATCTTAGGAAATGGTAAGCAATTGCTCTTAACTGAAAGGTGATTTTAACCCACAGAAAAGTGTGACCAAAAGTCTGTCTTACTTTTCCACGTATATGTCTTGGCCTACACAAAATATGCAACTTCTTCATGCAAGCCCAGTACTGCATATCATATCCACAGGAAATTGTTCCTGTGTGTCTCCCTTGTTCTTTTAATGATTCCTTAGGTGTCCATCATAGGTGACAGTTGGAGAGAGGAGACTGGACTGGATGCCACCTTTGCTTGGGTCAATGTGACAGTAATCATGTTCTCACGAAGACACATCGTGTATTTCTTAAAGCACAGGCACTCTTCCCCCTTGCCACGGAAAGGCAATCATCCATTCTAAAAGAAACAAAAATTTGGGCAGTAAATAATAATAAAAAGGAATTTCAGCTTTTACTTCAAAACAATATGCAGATGTTACTAGGCATAGTAGCCATTAGGGGAACTTAGGGCTCCGGTAGGTAGGCAGAGATTTGGCCTCTTACATATTTTATGTACCAATACTATCCTTAGAGTTCTGGCTTGTGCTTGCTTTACATGTTATGGGAGATGAGGGATTGTCTGGAAAAACAAAAGTTGTTATGTAAATCTTTAATTTTGTAAAGAAACAAAGCAAAAAGTCATCACAGGATTTTCTTGTTTTCCTCTATGTGACTGGCAGAAATAGGATGGAGTGAATGCTTCCATTCCACAGCACTTAAGGAAAACTTGTTTCCCTAGAGGAAATTATTCAGCTTTATCTCACAGACTTATGTTACCTACAGAGAATCCAAATATAAGCACAAATGTGTATGTAGGAAGGCTAGTGAGTACCCAAATGAATAATATGTAAACCAAGATGATAACATAAATTATGTTTGTCCACCAAATTAAAGCAAAAGTTATGCTTAAATAATTAGGTTTTCAGTTGAGTTAAGGTTTCATTATTTAGATGTCATATAAAGGGTTAAAAGTAAGATTGTTATAATTCAGTGGGATAAATTAAAAGTTGATTTTTGCCTCATGGTGAGCATGAATCTTGGCTGATAAGAACACTTAATATTTTTTGTGTGCAAAGCAATCAGTTCTGTATGGAAAGAAAGGATTTTTGAGATTTGGATAGATTGAGGGATTAAAATCTGTAATCTGTGGTGGGCAGCAATGTGTATACTAAATTAGTGAAGTTTCTTGGGAGTTTCCAAATGAGACAGTACAGATTCACATCTCAGGTGGGTCTCATTTCAGCTCTGAGTACTGGCAGTACACATCATATCAAGTCTTCACAATGCACAGGCAGGGACACTTGCTGAAAAATCACTGCAAGGATTGCAAAAGCAGTGAAATGAAGGAGAATCAGTACAAAGGTTCTAAATGCAATGAAATGAAGGAGAGATGATTACAGTGTCATACATTCCACATATAAGGTGAAATAAGGTACACCCTTACATTGCCATAATAAAACTACTATATATTTTGGATTATAAAATCCTTAATCTGGATAATACATGCTCCTTAAAGTAAGGTGTTTCACCCTAGAAGTGGACATGGAGGTCTACAAACCAAAATTCTGGATAGAAGGTACCTGGA